GCACTTAAGATTTTCGAATTCCTTAAATGTATATATGTACGTGTTACTGTATGAATGCTCCTTCTTAGGATCACCACCATTTAAATGGAAGTTCTGAACCTACAACTTAAGTTAAAACACATAAAATGATAGGAATATGAAACATAAGTGTTATGTATTTTAGTTTATCTTAACATTTGTCAGAGATATTTAATCTTGAACAGATCTTGTTATTTAAAGTGTTGTCATGCAGAGAAAAACAAATTATGCCCATGTTGGTGCGTAATTCTGGTAATGCGCAATTTTCCTCACACAGTGCAGACAGATTTAACTCCCTTTGTTTTCTCAGAAGAACTAGAGAAGCACTGTGCTGAGAATTGACATAAAAATAATTTGCAGTTTTAGAAGTGCAAGAGCTATGCGGATTACACATCAAAAGAAACTTTTAAAAAATGATACACCTGGAATTTCTTGAATCTGTTATGTCTACATGAAATGGCTTTATATTTGTTTTAAGTATAGCATAATTGAAATTTTTCTGTCTAGCAGTTACAAAACTCTGATAAAGCTGTCAGCACGTGAGATAACCGTTGATTCCATATAGATACAGAGGGGAGGGGGGGCAAAGATAGCACTTGTCAAGAAACATGATGTTTTACTGATAAAACTAAAATCATTGAAATTCAAAACAATCAGAAATGAAATAAATCTTTAATTTATATGACTGTTGCATATGTTTTAAAGAGGCTTAAAATAGGGGGTACATTTTTTCAAGTTGGAGGTTTATAGTGGACAGGCACAGTTCCAGCCATTTTGAAAAGGCGGGTTCCAACCTTGGAACACCATTATACATTCACATAATTTTAAAACAAAAATGAAAAAAGGGGGGTTCCAACCCCAAGAACACCCCTTTTGGATCTGCCATAATGGAGGAACAGAATTGAAGTTGTTTAATTGTCCGATGTGTCTGTCTGGGAGAATGCATCAGAGGAAATAATTTCAAACTTATTTAAGCTGATTTCAAAAGGGATGGATACAAGAGCTCTGCAGTTAAAGATGGATTCCTCGTTGACTCTGTCACTCAGGCAAATTAAATAACTTTAAATCATAAGTAGATGTTACATAAAGTGTTTGCTTTCCCATCTCATAATCATTGAAAGAAACTTAATTTTTAGGATTAAAACCAGATTGGAAGGGATTTTGAGCAATTCAGGTTTTTAATTCAGGACTTTAGTGCTAAAACAATATATGCAATGCTGGATTCAAAACAAAATTTTGTATTCGAAAAAAAAATACAAATAAAAAGGGGGACATAATCAAACAGCATGATATCGGGTAAACATTGTGGGGATATTTAATTTTTGGTTTTTCTTATTTAACTCTTGTTCAGCTTAGTGATTATTTTGAGTTTCCTGCAGTGTAAAAACATGCTAACGTCTATGTCATTTGGTCTCTGGTGGATGGTTGTCTTATTGGCAATCTTACCAATTTTTTGTTTTTCTTCATTTATAAGGAAAACCAAAAGATCAAATAAGCTTACAGTAGCTTATGGATGTGTATATATATGTAAAATTTAAGATCAGGCTTGAATAACTGTAAATTAAGAAATTATTGCGAGGTTTTTATTAATGCGAATAAATGTGACTGGGTGAGTATCGGAATAATAAGAACTCGCATTTTGATATCTGAAACATATATCTGTATGCAGATTTTCCTGAAATCGCAATAATTAAACTCACATTTATGACCATTTTTTAACAATCGCAATAATAAATGCATGCAATAATTTCTGAATTTACAGTAATAGATAACAATTGGAAATAAAAAAAAACTTTTTGTTTCATTTAAGTTTTTCAAACCTTCTTGGCAGCAAATACTATGGTACTCATAATTTATAAGTCTTAATTTCAAGTAGATAGATTTGTTAAAAGACTTCCTTCAGTGTTTAAACATGAGGAAAGAAAAAAAATGATTACACAAGTTAGAGGTTTAGAATTGGATGTGTTATATCATTTAAAATAAGTTTTGAATAAAATACAAATATCAATGTAGTTAGTGTTTGACATTTTAAAAGTAACATGAATAATACATGTATCTGTATCCCATGTCAAGGGCTTATGTGAGGTTCTCCATGGGTGGGGTATACATTTTCAGTTGTCAGGACTTTTTTTAGAAATGAAAATTACACTTTATACATTTATATTGTGTCTGTAAGCGCTTTTCTGGAGTTACGATTTCATCTGGAAGCCAAATATTTGAATGCAAAGGATTTGTAAGATCCTAAAACAGGGGAAGAGTTATATGACCCTAAATGACCTAAAAATAATAGCCATATTCATCTAAAGTCAACTTGGCCTGAGGGAGTTCAGATCATGACTTGAAAAAGTTGTTATAACTGCATCTGCATTGTACAACTAATTATGAAGGACTTCACTATTGAATATTGAATGAAATTACCTTGGATTCGCTTTAATCTGATACTAATTTTTCGAGGATTTCAATGGTAAAGAGGGGGGGGGGATAGTCTGATCCCGTATCCCGTTTATCATTGTAATACTAATGCTTGTAATTTCACGTGTCCCACCCGACTTAAATGTTTCCCGTTTTCACACACAATAATTTGACTTTCACATGTCACGCTTACAAAAAATCAGCCAATACTGCTTCACGCTTAGACCCCATTGAGACCCACTAAAGATACCTTTGAACTGTAAATATAAGTGTTCAAGTAATCAAGTAAAATTTGTATTCTTTAATGGGGATGCATCTTTATATTGGACCTATGCACCAACCTTATTGGACCACTGAAGAAAGTTTTGTCACTTGTTACAAATATGTTTGATCATGATACAGCATCCTCACCCGCAGATTTCTTTTGCCAGACCTTTTTTAGATTATGAATTCAGCATAATGTCACAGGAGGACTTCACCAATTTTGAAATTCTTTAGTTAATATCCCCACTGTAAAAAGGTACTATTACATAATAGACACTGATGTTATCTAATTTGCATAAATTATGTTAAGTCTGGGTGTGTGTGTACATTGGCATTATGCCAGATCTGTTTTATTGTTGGACCAGTGCAAACTACTTGAAGATTTAATTCTGCACCAGCAAAAAAAATGAAAGTAACAAAGATAAGATTTTATTAAATAGTCTATTTGACACTGTTATTGAATATTATATTTTCATATGTCTGGTTAAAATATGGATCAGTGACTGATTTAATATCATAAAAATTATGCAACTTATAAAAAGCCTTTCAAAAAACTAAGTACAGCATACTTTAATTGAGATGAGTTGCGGTCAAAAATAGTTCTTCTGTAACAAAAGCTTAGGGCAGTGAACCACAAATTACTTCCCTGGGGTTTTTACCTATTTCCCTCTGATTAGCCAAGAATTACTCTCCCTGAGTTGTTACCTTTTATGTCCTCTGTTCATCCAAGAATTACTTCCCCTGAGTTGTAACCTTCTTCAAATGATACTTCCTCAGTCATCCAAGAGTTACTTCCCCTGAGATGTTACCTTCTTTGTCAATTGATTAACTTCCCTTGATCATCTAATATAAGTTGTTTGCCATTTTGAGAAGTTATCTCCCTTCTCTATGACATTTTGAAAAGTTATCTCCCTTCTCCATGACATTTTGAATGGCATAGACATGCTTCAAAAGGTAATCATTTGAAGTCCTATGTGTAACAGGGAATTAATATAGTGACCAATCATGGTTAAAACTGAATGTGTCGGGACAATAACTGACAATATGACTGTTTGAAAAGACCTGGCCTTGCGGTCATAAAACTTTCGAGCACGATAACCATATGCAGACTCAGAAATCAATCAATCAAAATACTGGATTTGGTGTTTCGAGCACAAATTTTGTACTCCGAGTACTGAGTAAAGTTTTATGACCGAGGGCCCTGGATGTTCTATGAGAAGAAAATGACATGACAGAAACTTAAATTGGAAAATATGGGTACAAGCTATTTGTCTGAAAATTATTTGTAGGATTTTTAAAAGTTTTAATGTTTTTTTGTACCTGCAGAGAACATTACATTTGTCCAAATTTGAAACTTATTTCTCAAAGACCCCAAATAGTGTAAATGACAATAAATAATAAAGTAACCTAAAAATACATTCACATATGGCCAAAATTCGTTTGATTTTAAACAAAAAAATACTGTATAATTATTTGATTTCAGTTTTTGATAATGGTTCGCATTCCTTATAATTAACTGCAGTGGTACAACAGCTTATTTCCTAAAGAAAAGATTTTAATTGTTAAGGGCATAGCTTAAAAGGCTCTTTTGATCAACCTATTACACTTCAAAAATAGATATAACTATCATTAATATGTTACAAATATAAACATAAATGAAGTGCTGGCAAAATATTTTCTGTCTGATTTAACATTCCTTGAAGAGGTCACACTTGGATATTAGACTAGGAGTAAGCATACTAGATTGACAACATACATGTATGGAGATTTTTTAATTGGATAGTGGAGACAAAGAATAATTTTGAATTTGTAATTTGTTACAGCTGAACCCTAAATATTGTGTGAACATTGTATACTGCATTTAAAAATACCATTGAAATTCATTATCTGATTATAGATCTGTGATTATACTTTATATGTACTGTGGATTTTTTTCATTTCTTATGGTACCAGTATTTGTGGATTTTGTGGATATGGGTGAACCATAAATTTAAGCGTTGAACAAAGTTTAAATTTTCAATAGGCTAATTTATGCTGACTTTAGTAAAACCATGAAATCTAGTATTCACGTAAGTAGAATTTTTCCTCAGTTAACAAAAATTGGCACCCGTGAAAATAACAGAATCCACAGTATTGTCCTTAAGGTAAGGATGCAGTTTTGAGTTTTAATTTAATTTCACATGTATAAAAAATCTGTGTGTTTTCAGTTTACCCTAAGATCACATGGTTAGAATTATAATCTTTAACCAAATAAAGTGTTTTCAATGGTATTTTTCAATGCTATGTTAATTATTTTAATCAACAAGAGGGAGTGATCAATCGCTAATGCGAGTGGATTGACCTAACATATATAACTGGAGAGATGATGCTGTCTAAACTTACAGCGTTCCATTTTTGGACAGTTCTTGTTGTCTTTGTCACAACTTATAAGATGAACATCAATGCTCAGCAGCACAATAGATGTGAACCAATAGTAATACCTTTGTGTAAAGATGTCCCATATAATGAGACGATAATGCCAAATTTACTCAGCCATCAGTCACAAGTCGTAGCTGGTTCAAAGATTAAGCAGTTCTCTCCCTTTCTGGATGCAAAATGTAGTCCACATTTGAGACTTTTTGTGTGTTCGATGTATGTTCCAGTTTGCACGGTTTTGCAAGAAGCTATTCAGCCATGTCGTTCTTTGTGTGAGAAAGCACAAAATGGATGTAAAATTTTAATGGACAAAGAAGGATTTAATTGGCCAGCAGCCTTTAACTGTGACAATTTTCCCCCAAATGGACTGTGTGTTGGAGACCAAAATACTGACCTGGAAGAAAGATCACAGCCAATTTTCCAACGAAAAACGCTTGAAAACCATTCTGGTTTCTATAAAACTATACCAACCAGAGGCTTGCAATACCAACCTACAAGTACCACAGCAAAAAACTTCAATATACCTGAAGGTAGTTAAAGTTAAGCTTATTTAAATTGTCCGTTTAGCTAGTGTCAATACACGATTTCTGGAGGTTGTTGAGTTGTTAGAACTGCCTCACAAATTCCTTTTGGAAAAATTGCACTTAACATTAGCCAAACATTTTTGTGAAAACAGACAAATACCAAGCAATTACCTTAGAATTTACTTCAAATAATAAAACAATTATGAAGTATCTATAAAACTATTATGAAGTAGCCACACTTTTGAGTGTTGTGTTGATCTCAATCACGAGATAAAAGTTTCTGCTGACCACCCAATAGTGATTCAGGACAGTAGCAATCATAAAATACAAAGATGAGTCAGTATCCAGTAGCCATCTCAGTGGTTTAAGTAATAAAATAATTACACTATGACTCGACCTTAACTGCACTCTAGGATTCATTATCATAAGACACATAAACCATTCAATTTCTTTTACTTATTACACCTTTCACAAAGCATACCTGAGATACAAATGTCAGTGTTCTAGGCAATTAGCATAGGGAGATTCTCAAAATGCACAAATGATATGAAAGGTTTCTCAAGGTGTAAATGGACTTTCTGTTTTATCTTTACCAATAGTAACAGACAGCAATTTGAAGCTCATTTTTTCGTAACAATTGTGAAAGATAATAAAGCAAGAAAAGGTGTGTTGGCAGACTTGAACAGTAACACCAGAAATAGCATTTTGTTGATTTAAACAGAACATGGCACTATAATTATGCAACCTGCAACTTTTGTACAGGAAGTTCAGACATTAATTGGGATATAAACAGTTATTGTTTATAATGCCTGGGTGTTTGGGTGTTTGTGTGTTAATTTATGTACATGCATCCCATTCTGATTCATCCACTGTTTTATTTGAATATTGTCTCTTTTTAAGTTGGGGAAGCTCAGGACTTAGATCCAAGAATTTGATTTTACTTTGATAATTAATTTATTACTATTTGTAAAGATAATGATTTGCATACTTAAATTTGAAATTTACGTTAGATTTGAAGTTAAAACTCTCATTTCCAACTTATATTTTGGTAGTGTCAGAGCTATCGTAGATATTTTCAAATTATTAAACCTTGTTTTAGGATGAATGACGGTATTCATTTTGTAAAGCAAGATTGATCACAGTTTTCTATCTGCATATTTATACATACCTTCAAAAACATAATGAATTCCTCCTGACTAATTTGTTACTGTAATTTAAAAATGCTTCGTTGTGGCTTATTATTTGCAATAATTAAACCATCATATTAAATGTCTGAAATAAAAGTATTTAATATACTTATTAAGTAATTTATTTTACCTCTAATATATTGATGTCATCTTTGTAACGTAACAATATTAAAAATCACAAATAATAATAGCACAAAGGTTGGAACTTAGAACAGAAAAAATACTCCTTTAATATTACTAAAAAAAATTTAAAATGGTGTCTGGTATTTATATGAATATGTAAATAACTATAATAGAAAAACAAAGGATATGGGGTATCCATCCATGACACAAAATCAGTTCATGCACAGCAAAAAAAAAAAAAAAAAAAAAAAACACAAAAAGCAAAGGAAAAACAATAAGACTTTATTTAATATGAAATTTTATAGAAGAATATATTGAAATGTTTTTATTATGACAACTTTACAGTAAGCAGCAATTCGGTCATCTTGAACTGTCGCGACATTTATACACAGATTAATTCAGCACTTTCATTGAGCACCTTTTGATCAAGTAACACCTACTTGAACTGTGTCACCTTAACACTAGTTCATATGTAATGCTGGAGTGTCACTGAAGAGTTAATCAGAAATTTACGGAAAAACCAAACTTCCTGCAGATGACAGAAATTTGAACTCACTTCACATTAGAACTATGCTTTGATGTCATCGGTATAATTGTTCTTTATAGCTGTTAATATTTGCCAGCATATGTTTTTTTTTATTAATTTGTCCATTTAGTGACCTTAAAACCTGTTTTCCGTTAAAATTTTACCAGTTCCAGGTGTTTTACAATGTATTCAGTGACCTAATTAGGACTTTAAAAAAAGGGGGAGTCATAAGTCAGAAAAGTATTAAAAAAATTAAAATTTAGGACACTATGGGGGTTGGGGGTTGGGGGGGAGTGGGGGGGGGGGGGGGTGGCGGACAGGTACCCTTGGCCCCTGGATCCGCTCTTGGTATTTATTTGAGTGGTTTAAGCGTTATTCCCCTTGCTTAGAAAACATTTTGTTAAGAGGGAAAGGGTGTATAGCATTCATTGTGTTTGTTTGTTCGTCCATTTATCTATGCATCAACTTGAGACACAGACACAACATATCTTAAAAGTAAGTCATCTTGAATAGACTGTAAAAACTGGGAGTATGGGCGAATAAGAAATAAGATGAAGGACATTAGTCATCAAGTTGTTAACTAGAGAAAAGAATGCTAACTGCCTCTTCGTCTCAAGAATTACAAATTATTATATTAGTCACGAAGGGCAAGAATATTTTTTGCAAAAATATACATTGTACATAAGGCTGAACAAATAAAGTTCTGTTTCCAGCCTCTCTCAGTTATGATCAGTCAATTTTCAGCATGTTTACTTGATGTAATAACCTGTGTACCACAACGAATACTGAATTCTCTAAAAATAAACTAAAAACATGACTGCAAACAAAATGGCTTAACATGGCTGAATTTATCAACAAAAATATATATATATATATATATATACAAGTCTAAATTGAAAACAACGTTCAAACCTATGATTGCGTTGGATAAAAACCGCAATTTTATATGTGTGCATGCAAAACAAATTTCTTGGTAGAGTGGTCTAAATACAGCACAAACAACATTTTCCAAAAGACCAAAAATAGTGAAAAAGTATATTTTAACAAAACACATTTGACTAGCAGGTCGAACATATATAAAATTACTATACACTTTAACTCTTATTTAACCTGATTACTAAGACCTTTAATTAATATCTCAATTTTAGGGACATTGACACAAATATGAGAAAAGTCATAGACAATCAGTTTTGGAGATACCAGTATTGTATATGATGATTTGGTGGCATCATAGGCAATTTGTTTGGTCACAAACTGAGCTTTATGGGCAATGGTTAGTGAATGAGCCAGAAAAAGAATATTTGGGGCCATCTCATAAAAAATTGATGCCTTTAATCTTCAAATACAATACTATTCTCTCCATTCTAATGCAATTGAGAGAAAATCGCTTAATCATACATTTTAAAATCAGTCACACAACTTCTGCACTTATGGCAATATTTCAGACCATCAGTTGTGTAATTGATGCCTCCTAAAATGTGACGTTATCCAATCAAACTGTACGGTACAAACAATAGTTGTATTAGATTTCTATTAAACAAACTGATTGACAGTTACTAATAAATATTAATAATAATAACTCTCAACAAGACTTTATTATCATCTTTAATTTAGATTACAGGTTTTTCATAATTTTAGACTCTATAGTGACACAGAATAAGAGAGAAAAACACAGATACAATCAATTTAATATTTGAATGACTCAGATGGACGATGATTAAAATTTTAAAATAAAAAAAAGTTAATGATAGTGTGCAGTTATATATTTGCCTTTTTCAAATTTAAGACGAAGTAAAAAAAAAAGATCAAAAGCCTCAAAATTGATGCCAAGATTAAGCTTGTCCCATGATGATAAACCTGGGAAAAATATATATACAAGTGTTTGCCTGTCACTAAACTGTCTTATCAACGATCGTCAAAAAATTTATGATCACGTAGGGGTGGGCATTATGTTCACGGAGAGTTACGACAGACAATCCTATCAACTATTTTCATCTGTAAATTATAATACCCTTATGTTTCATGTATCAGAAGGTAAAAATATGACTTTTCATAAAAATTAATTTCCGTAAGACAATTAGCGTGAATTTTGAGATTTGACGTTAAGATAGTTTTAGATTTGTGAGTGTTAATAGACTTTTAAAGATCACTATGAAATCATAGGACATAAGGTGATTTATGACACTTGAAAATAAATCTCCGTCTGGCGATCAAGTTCAATGTTTTCTTAAGACGGAATTATATTTATGTTTGTGTAACAAAATATATTGTCTGAAAATTGTACTTTAGGATTATATTGCTTCATTTTTTTTGGTGTTCTCTTTGTAACTTCTCAAGTTTTTCTTATCTAGATTTTGATATTTGAAATGAAGGTCTTAAATTATGTAAGTCAAGTTCTATATTAATTTCCATAAGTGTTTGTCACTGTGACATTTTGTATGGTAGGTACAGAGCATAATGACTTCAAAATTGTGATTGTAAATTTACAGTCCATTGATTATGTAATTGTACTAAAACTATGGTTGTAAATCACTGAGGTTTACCTTGACAAATAATGGGGGGGGGGGGGGGGGGGGCAAAAAAGGAAGGGAGGGGGAGATATGCTCCTGAAAGTTTTAATTAGAATCACACAAAATTGATATTCTAATTTCAGTCCCAGATGACACTCTTATGGTCAAATCTAATTTTGATTGATTAATTGATTGATTGATTGATTGATTGCTGGTGTTTAATGCCTCTTTCAGCACAATTAGCTTTATCATGGAGGACAGTTTTTGAAGCTGGAGTTCCAGTATGGTACCATATACCTTTAGCAGAAAATTGGTTATCGAGTCAAATGCACCTTCCAATGAGCAGAGTACTTTTAGAATCAAACTTTGAGATGAAGAGCAGCAGTAAAAGAGCTGTTCCTTTGCTTATTGTGTGTATTTTGCTGTTTATGTACTGATTCTGCTTCATGGATTGATACCCCATATCCTTTGTTTTTCTATTATACAGTCAGCAGTTGCCACATGTCTATGCATAATGCGTTATAAATGAAAAATGAAAGGTCTAGGATTATTTAGTATAGTTTTTTGCTCCAAAGTGCACCACTACTTTCATATGTAAAATATAACAAAGACTTGATAGGATGCAAGCCTGCTTAAACATTTTTAAAAATACATTATTCA